GTAACATGAACATGACGGTAGCCGCAGCGGATACTCAATTGCTTCTGTACAGACTTTCCTGACATTGACCACGCAGGACCGGGTTTTGCACGCGCTCTTCCAACAGAAGCCTTCTGAAAGCTTCTATAAAAGATCTCCTGTGGAAAAATGCTTCGCGCGCAAGGTTTCTTCACAAGATAATTAAATTCTGCATGTTTCTGTAGAAAGTAGAAAGATACCCGGAAAATCACGGTCAGCGCCCGCCGAATCATGACCATAGCTATTCGTTTTTCTCACCGGGCGTGGCCTTTCTAAAGTGTCCAAGGCACCTCGGCCTTTCCAACTTGCGTTAGTGAGGCGAATCGAACAATAATGCTTGGTTTGGGCAACGCACAGTGTGCATGCCTGTCGCCCTGCCATTTTCCTCTATTCCAGGGACTCAGGACAGAAGAAAAGTGCACCACCTAGTTCTGAACCGTAAACAAACACAGGACATACAGAAGCAGGTTGTGCTCTCATGGCCAACTAGGTGTGTGCCAAGGCCTGAACATGTTTTGCAACCCCACAAACAAGGTTGAAAATGTTAAGAATAGCTGCTTGCAAAAAAATGGTGCGCAGTCACAGGGATGCCCTGAGAGGCTTGCAGCCGTTGTGGAGAGACATTTGTTTGGCTCAAACCTCGGCGCCTTGCTTGGGCAACGCACAGTGTGCATGCCTGTCGCCCTGCCATTTTCCTCCAGTCCAGGGACTGGGGACAGAAGAAAAGTGCACCACAAGTATAAGCAGTACTCAGTATTTCACCGACACCTAGTTCTGAATGACCTTTACCGTAAAGAAAGACAAGACACACAGAAGCAGGCCAACCACACATGCGCACACACGTGCTCTCATGGCCAACTAAGTGTGTGCCAAGGCCTGAACATGTTTTGCAAGCCCAGGACCAAGATCGAAAATCTTAAGAATAGCTGCTTGCCAAAAAAGTGGTGCGCAGTCACAGGAATGCCCTGAGAGGCTTGCAGCCGTTGTGGAGAGACACTTGTTTGGCTCAAACCTCAGCGCCTTGCTTCAAACCCCATCGATCGCATTTTGCAACGATAGGTTGCTGAGGCCGCGCAAGCTGCGGCGGCCGCAGAGGCCGCGCAAGCTGCAGAGTCCGTGGAAGACGCGGAGGCCGCGGAAAACGAGGAAGCCCGCGCGCGCAGGTTGCGGAGGCCGCGGCCGCGGAGGCCGCCGAGGCCGCGGAGGCCGCGTAGGTCGCGGAGCCCGGGGACCGCGCAAGCCACGGAGGCCGCGCAAGCCGCAAAGGTCGCGGGCGCACAGGCCGCGGAGGCCGCGGAGGCGAAGGCCGCGGAGGCCACGGAGGCCAGGCTGCGGAGTCTGCGAGGCCGCGGAGGTCGCGGAGGCCGCGGAGGCCGCGGAGGCCGCGGAGGCCGCGCAAGCGGAGGCCGCGGAGGCCACGCAGGCGAAAGTCGCACAGCCGCGAGGTCGTGGAGATTTGGAGGCCGCGGGAGCCGCGCAGCGCCACTCCCGACCTTGCAAAGCACGGTGGCCACGCAGGTTGCAGATCGCGAAGCAGACCTCCTCGCCGCGCTTGCCCACGTACAATTATGACGCGGAAAATTGTCCAGGCCCACGATCTTGTAGACCGCCACGCAAAGCACGGAGGCCGCGCAAGCCACGCAGCCCCCAGCGACGCAAAGGCCGCGACGGCAGCGCAAGCCAACCGCGGGCGCAGCGATAGTCGCGCGACAGCCGCCGCGCCACGATTGCAGCTGCCCCTGACGCAGAAGGCGTGGAAACCGCACAAGCCGCCAGGCCGTTTCCGCATGCCACGCGAACTCTTGCGGCTTTGCAGACCCCTGTGCGCCATATATCGCGCAGAGCGTTGACAATGTGCGCGGCAACGTGCCATGTCACACGCCAGGCAGCGCCGCCGCGCGCCCGTACGGAGACTGCGCAAGCTGCGGCGGCCGCGCAAGTCGCGGAGGCCGAGGAAGCTGCAAAGGCCGCGACGGCAGCACAAGCCGCGGAGGCCGCAGGAGTCACTGAATCTGCGGCAGCCGCGCAAGCCGCAGTGTTGCTGAGGCCGAAGAGGCCGCGGAGGCCGTGGAACCCGGAAGCCGTGGAGGCCGCGGAAGCCGCGCAAGCCGTGGCGGCCGCGCAAAAAGCCGCGAACGCCGCATAAACGCCGCGCAAGCTGCCAAGTCCGCGGAGACCGCGGAGGCCGCGGAGAATGGAGACCGCGCAAGCCGTGGAAGCCGGCAGCCGCGCAAGTCACGGACGCGGAGGCTGCCGAGGCCACGTAGGCTGCGGAGGGCGCGCAGGCCGCGGAGGGCGCGCAGGCCGCGGAGGGCGCGCAGGCCGCGGAGGGCGCGCAGACCGCGGAGGCCGCGGAGATCGCGCAGGCCGCGCAGGCCGCGGAAGCCGCGGAGGCC